TAGCAGATGATAAGATTGGATAAGGGTAGTTGGAATGGGAGGTCACCAGACCCATAACGCGGGACACAGCATCAGCTAGGCGTTGATCTCAGCAAATGATATAAAGAGGGAGGTGGGGAAGGCGACGGGAAGTGATAACAGCTGATAGGGGCTGATAAGGAACGTTGCCGTTGTTGTTCAGTCAAAGTGCTGGAGCCTTTACACTACCAAATTATAGTTTTCGTGATAGCGACCATTTATACTTTTGGACCAGTCAAGTGTAAGGACTAGATAGCAAGTTGATTTGTACGAATTGGTTTTAATCAAGGAACACAGTAGGTCCAAATCCAAGGCAGGTGGCCTCCTTGGACGAAGTTTTTCTCCCAGAGAAACTAAGTTAGAGAAGTACCGCTTGTAGTTCCAACCACCTGTGGCTTGATGGAGGTTCGTATCTGTCGAAAATGATGAATTTCAGTTACCGTTTTGGATACGCGAGGGACGGCAAAGGGGTGCTCACGCAACACATCTCCCGTAGACCACATAAGTGGATCTAAGAAATGGCTATGCAAAGATCTGAGATTCTAAAAATGGCCACGAACTTTTGGGACAATCTAATAAATGGAAGATACCTATTATATCACTCACTTGAACAAGCCGAAGATGCTTATGATATTCGATGTGCTTTAGTTTGAGCGTGTTTTATAATATTTCACAGCTTCATTTTCTGGACACATTTTGTTGTGACGTGATTATTAAAAAAAACGGATGTGATGGCGTTGACGCCTACCCTTTCATGACCCGATTCACCATATCGAATTCACTCACTCAATGATCCTCAGCTGAAGCCACACCACCAACCATGTGCAACTGTTTAAGGTTCAATTTAAAGCTGACAAGTTGGTCACGTATCGATACTGTGACAACGTATGGACGTTTGTGATCAACGGTGTCGAGTTTCGAGATGTCCATCGGTCAATTGATCGTACTGTGGATCGGTAAGTAATGTTTATCATTCCTTCACTCTACTATTTGATAATAGTTACATTTTAGTGTGAAAATAGTCGCGTGTGATGGGCGTGCACCCGGCCTGGCTGGTACAACTAGTGGAACCGTGTAAAGCGCTTGGTTTAGTGTTATCAATATCTATTCATCCAGCTTTGATC